TTAAATTTTTTCGTCGCGCTGTGATGACGTCACATGCACGCTTTCGTCGAGCGCGATTTTGTCCTCCGCGGTTAAGACGGGTCACGGACACTGCAATGACTTTGGCTTTGGTACATTTGACAAAGGGGCATATGCCACCTCATGATGTCAAAATTTAGGCTGCAGGACACGGCATTAGTTGTTGTCATGTTCTGCATTTAAATTGTTGTCAAACCCCAATAATTAGATGAGTTGAGCAGCCATGTCAATGTTTTAAATTAAGAAATAGCATTCATGCTGTCATTCCTTGTTTTGTTTTCCCTCCAGATGTTCAGGTTTTTTTAACATTTTGTCCAGGAATAGGCGCAGGCTAGAGATTGTTATGGGGATAGCAAACTATATATTGTAGAGTTTTCTGATTTCTTTTTCTCCTCCCTCGAGCAGTTGATGTGCAGAAAAATGAAAATTACCAAGAGCCAAGTATGGTCCCATCACAAATAATCAAAACTGAAATACGAGAAGAGATGTCTGCAGATATGTGGAGAAGAAGGAGATATGAGAAAAAAGGATCTTACAATTGGAGAGAAAACTCGACTTCTGAGTGTGCGGAAATGGAACACTTCCAGATTCAACATGATTTCAAAGAAAGCAGTATGGGAAAGTGTCGAGGAAATGGGAAGAGATTCAAACCAAAACCCAATTTCAGTAACCACAGCAAAATGGGAAAAAACTTCAACTATAACACCAAAATTATCCCACATAAAATAATCCATGCAAAAGAGAAGCCTTATAAATGTATGGACTGCGGAAAGAACTTTAGGTGGAGAGGTAATCTTAATTACCATAAAAAGATCCATTTGGGGGAAAAGCCCTTCAAATGTGCAGAATGTGGAAGAAGTTTCAATATGAACAGTTCCTTGACTTATCATAAAAGGATCCATATGGGAGATAAACCCTATAAATGCAATGACTGTGGTAAAAGCTTCACTATGAACAGTGCCTTTACTTTTCATAAAAGAATCCATCTGGGAGAGAAACCTTACAAATGCCTGGAATGTGGAAAAAACTTCAGCACCAGAAGTTATCTGACCTCCCATAAAAGGATCCACACAGGGGAAAAACCCTATAAATGCCTAGACTGTGGAAAAAGCTTCAGTATGAACAGTTCCTTTACTTACCATAAAAGGATCCATATGGGAGAGAAACCGTATAAATGCCTGGAATGTGGAAAAAGCTTCAGTATGAATAGTTCTCTTACTTACCACAAAAGGATCCACACAGGAGAGAAACCCTATAAATGTCCAGTGTGTGGAAAGAGCTTCAGTAGTAGCAGTTATCTAACCTCCCATAAAAGGATCCATACAGGGGAAAAACCCTATAAATGCATAGAATGTGGGAAAAGCTTCAGTTTGAACAGTTCCCTTGCTTCTCATAAAAGAATCCATACAGGAGAGAAACCCTATACATGCACAGAGTGTGGAAAGAGCTTCAGTAGTAGCAGTTATCTAACCTCCCATAAAAGGATCCATACAGGGGGAAAAACCTATAAATGCATAGAATGTGGGAAAAGCTTCAGTTTGAATAGTTCCCTTGCTTCTCATAAAAGAATCCATACAGGTGAAACTAATATATGAGATAGACTCATTATATGCAAAGCAAGACAGTTCAAGCCGTGATTTGTCATAATTGTGAGGAAGCTTACAGCTCATGAAAACCCCAAATCCACAATCTCAGAAAATTAGAATATTACATGCAATTGATAAAACAAGGATTGTACATAGAACA